ACTGACTTGTGAGGTAGAATAAGAGGAGCTTCGCCTCTAAACGGTGGCAGACGATCAATGAAGAAGTGTAAAAGTTGTTAGATGTTGGCTTAATCCGAGAAGTGACTTATCCAGATTGGTTGGCAAATTAGTGATGGTAAAAAGGCCAACGAGAAGTGGAGAATTTACATCAACTTCACCGATCTCAACCGGGCCTGCCCAAAGATCAGCTTCCCCTTGCTGAGGATAGACCAACTCATCAACGCAATGGCAGGGCAAGAACTCTTAAGTTTCATGTATAAATGATTTTCAAGAGAAAATCCGTACAAAACATTTATTAGATGAGCTCCATTAATACAAACAGTCCCTATATTAATTAAAGGCAACAAAATTTACATTTTGTTCAAAAGAAGTTTTAGGTCATTGAGCTACAACATGAGCAGCCACATTAATGGACAATTGAATTGAGCTTTAATCGAACAATTTTAGCTCTAGTTCTATTAGGTTTTATTCAAGTTCGATGCTAACTCGGGTTCTAATCTCAGAATAAATTCAATTAGTCATTTGAAATCGAATTCAATCAATTAAATGTTCAACTCGAAAGCTTACAAGCCTAGCTTGATTAATATATTATAACAATGTTTTAAAAATTGACCCGGAGGCTGAACCGTTTTTGCCTTCAAGTCGTGGGTCTATATATATATATATATATATATATGATATGTGTGTATATATATATATATATATTTAATTATTATTATATATATATGTGATATGTGTGTGTATAAGTATATATTTTAGAAAAAAATATTGTATAAATATGTTTTAGATTTGTTATATGTATTATTTTAATTAATTTATGTTTTTAATTCAATTTTTAATTTTGTTTATTTATAAAAATACTAAAACTTGCAATTTGAGGCCAAAAAGGGGGGGTTCACGAAAATAGCGGGGTATGGCACCTTGGGACACATTGATCTCGAAAAATTACCTAAATAAAAAAAAACACCACAATCGGATATCGGAGTGCAAAGTTATGACCTCCAAAAGTTTGACATGTCTTGACTGAACTGAGCCCAAAATCCTGGCCGGGTCACGATTCGAATAGTTCAATCCGCCGAGTAAAAGGAGGGTTGAAAACATTGTATTATAATATATATATATATATGCCCGAACCCAGCCTAAGAAACAAAGTTTCCTAAAATCTTATAAGTAGGAATGTAGGATAGTGTTTATTTTGGGCTAGTGGTGAGAAACTCTGTGCACACACACATGCACGCATGCACGTACGCCAAGCTGGGCTGGGTTATCACACATGCACACACAACACACCGCAGCACAGTATTCTTTGCGGAATGGAAGAGTAGTTTTAGTGGAGTAGGTGAACTTAATGGCTATTTTGTTGTGTGTATTCTCTTCAATCTCGACTGAAAGACAGGTAATTTTTAGAGATGATTAATCATGATCACTGAGAACCTCAGCAGAGATTAAAAAGTGTTCATGAAATTGATGGCTGTGTTACGTATACTAACTTGCTGACTGTGGTATCAATAATAACATCTCATTCCAGAATTGCTAGTACAGAATGATGCATCAATCCATTCGATTCCAGCAATTATTTTATTATTTTTTACCCCACACTCATAGTAATGTGTCGTGCCCAATAACATTTCCAACAGCCAAAGTTTTCTGTCACTTTTGCATTATGTGTGGCAGGTCCCTTAGGTTGTACTACCACTATATATCGACTTCAGTTAATCAATCCCCTTCTAGCGAAATCATAATTAAGTGAAACATTGAATGTTAAAACATGAAGATTGTTTGTAGAGGTGTAAATCGGCCTGTGTTATTTGTGGTCAGGTAGATCAGCATGATTGTATTATCTGTGTTGGGTTTGGGGTTTTAAATTCATGGACTGGTATGGCACAATACAACTGAGTGAGTTGTGCTATTTGTGACTCATGTGCCAACATGGCCCAGCACAGCCATATATATATTTATATATATTTTATATAATATAATATATATATATAATTTTATTTTCAATTTTATTATATTATTTTATTTTATTATTGTATATATGAACAATTGTATACATCAAAATTCATATAAAATAAAAATTTTAAGATCTTTTTAATTTTTTGTCTAGTTTTAATTTATGTTAAAATTTTTATTATTTTTTTCAAAATTTTTAAAGAACATGGCTTCATAACCCGGCTCAGCCCATAGGCCGTGCTATACTGGTCCAGCACGGCCAGATTTACATCTCTAATTGTTTGGTACTGACATCATTGTGTAAGCAACATTTTTTTGTTGGGTTTTGGGAGAACAATTAATTTTGCGTCAAATCCTAAAAACAATATTTTATTTGTTTTTATTTCTGTCTTATGACAGGAAAAAAAACGTTACTTTCCACAAGAAACACTAAAAATGACTTTTTTTTTTTGGGAAAAAATAGCTCTCCTAGAAATCGAGGCAAAAAGTTTATAGCATTTTTCTAAAAAACGGTAATAAAACATCAACCAAATAAGAAGTGATTCTCCATTGCAATAAAAAAAAAAAAAAGCTTATGTGATTCTGAATTGACAACATTTTTTTCAAAAAAAAAAACAGCAATAATACCAAACACTCATGATTCATGATATTTGTCAAGTTTAAAAGCCCCATCATAGAAAAAACAGTGTTTTAAAAATTGATCGGAAATCGGAGATATGCTACACCAAATACCTGATCATTCAGTACAAATGGTTAAGTTTACAATTTCATAAATGAGATAATCATAGAAAAAACAATGTTTTAAAAATTGATTGGAAATATGCTATCAAACCCTGATCATTCAGTACAAATGGTTAAGTTCACAATGTCATAAGTCATAAATAAGATAATGAAATATTTAGAATATAAAAATTAGTTATCGGTCTACTGTCCACAAATCATTCACCGAGTTGTACACTTGTATGGTTCGACAGTTAAACCATCCAATTCAACAGTTCATTCATCAAACCAATTATTTATTTATTTATTTTTGTAAAATAATGAAACAGGTGGTAAATAGGACTAAGGCCCGTTTGATTTGCAGGAATGGGTCTGGAATTAGAATGGGAATGGGCTATTTTGATTCTAATTGTTTGGTTGGGTGGAATCAGAATCTTATTTTCATTTCCAATGGAATAGCATTCTCCCATATAAAGAATAAGGGAATGGCCATTCCTTATCCCTACCTTTAGGAATGAAATTCCATTCTTGTTGATTTTAATTCTCATTTCTATTCTTGTCTGAATCAAATAGACTATAGGAATAGATTTTGTCATTCCAATTTCAATTCCAAAGGATTTCCATTCCAATTCCGATGGCCAATTCCAACTATAAACCAAATGTACCCTAAATTTACTATTTTGTAGTTTTATAAGGCTTGGAACAATCAGACCATGAGACTTGGGAACCCAAGGCCAATCCAGTTTTTCAGTACCTCGGTTTTCTAGTCAAACTGGTCAAAGCCCAACGGAACGGTTGAAAATTGGCTGGGTTTTCAATACCCCGTTTGGGTCACTAAATTGGTTCAATGTTCAAAGTATTTTATATTCAATAAAATGTAAATGATGAGACTTCAACCATGGCGATGGCGGTTTGTATAAAAAAAGGACAGGACACCTAATCATCTAGCCTCTTCTTAAACCGTTTGACCTGACAAGACGGTTCACGGTTGGACCATTCAACGTGGGAATTGCAGGCCATTTCAGTTCTATGTCCAGTCCGAGTCTTATAACATTGCTATTTTGCTCTCCTTCTCGTTAGTAAAGTCTCCCTTCTCTAAAAGAAAGAAGGTTTAGCTGAATGTTTTGGTTGTTCAGCACGCTGTGGAATTGATGATAAGGTTTTATGTCAGTAATAAAATATAGAGAGAATGACGCTTCAGCCCAGAATCAGAATTTTTAGGCACAAAGTACAGTTGGAATAGGTGTCAGTTTGAAATTAATGCCAATTCACGGACGAGCATTGATATATAAAATAGGGGTATTTGACATTTTAAATATTTATAAATCTGCAGAAGAATTCAAAAATATGCAATAAGCCTGTCCTTACTTTTCAGTAAAATATATGGGGCCTATGAATTTATATTGACATAAAACGTCATCATTGACTCCACAGCCAAAATGTTCAACCAACCCAAATTCCTCTAAAAGGTAGATGGAGAAGGTAGGGATGATCATTTATGGACAGGCCCAGCCATCAAGTCTTTTTTTGATGCATGGCCCAGCCCTACCTCTTCGAAGACATGATACAATTGAGTTTGCTAGTATAAAAATATATAGATAGTATAATTTGATATCATATAATCAATTTTTATAATTTACAGACAAATATCCCCTTTATAATAATATAGATGTTATTATAAAGACTCGCAATCAAACCATTCGACCCTATAATCAGACCGTTCGACCTGAGAATTATAGGCCATTTTGGTTCTGTGTCCCGTCCAAATCTTACAGCATTATTATTTTGCTCCCTCATTCTCATTAGTAAGGTGAAACATTAGGAAGGGCAATACTTGGCTCCTACGTAGTCTGGGACATCTATCCGACCACATGCATTTTCAGCATTAATTTTAGGGCATAACGTTAGGAGTTAAGGATCAAGGGTTTAAAACTTAGGGTTCAGATATGAAAATCAAGACGTGGTTGGAGGCTTTGGTCCGACCATGGTAGGAGCCAAGTAAAGCCCCATTACGACTGATCATTTATGAACAGGATATATATTTTCCATAATTTTGACTGTGAAATTTAACATTTTAATTTGTTAAAACTACAATTTTATCAATTAAAATGGGCAAGCTCGGCCCAGGCCCGGGTGCGGGCCGGGCTGGGCCCAAGCAACCCTAAAGACCGTTAAGGCGTTAACACTTGACATATTCTCTCTCTCTTGTCTCTTTCTCTCTCTCAATAGCCACGCACGACGGACCACCGTTTCCATATTACAAATTCTTCTCTTCTCGTGCTTTGTATAGTTGTATGCTGGGCTTCACTTGGATGTCTCCCAGTCTCCTGTATCCGTCCCATAATTCGTTATACATCCAACTGTAAATGGGTTACCGGAAAACCCAACTCGCACTCCTTTTCTCTCTCTGGGCATCGGTTTCCGGCCTTTGCTGGTGTCTTCCGAACGAGTTCTCCATAGTGGGTTATGATCCGGACGAGCTAACCTCTGAAGAGAAGGTGTTTGAGCTGTTCGGGCAATGGAGGGAGAAGCACGGCAAGGTTTACAAGCACGAAGGGGAGTTGCAGTGGAGATTCCTGAACTTCAGGAAGAATCTCCAGTATGTGATAGAGAAGAACTCGGAGAGACGATCAACTGGGCGTTTTGTAGGGTTGAATAAGTTTGCAGATATGAGCAATGAGGAGTTCAGGGAGGTTTACTTGTCCAAGGTAAAGAGACCAGTCCGGAAGTGGATGAAGAATAACGGTGGCACGTGTGACGCGCCCCGGTCGTTGGATTGGAGGAAGAGGGGAGCTGTTACTCCTGTCAAAGATCAAGGCTTCTGTGGTAAGTTTAATTTTGTTTGATGTTGTGATTCCATGTGGCTAGCTAGAATCATTGTGGGATGGTCTGGATAAGCATTGGACTGGAATAAGTGGCACATACAATTCATCATATATTCAATAAGATTGTTCCTATTCATTGGATGTCTGATGAGTTTGGATTAAGAGTTAAGGTCTGATTGGTTCGTGGTTAAGGTAGAAACTGGAATCGAAATCGAAATCGAAATTCCCTCGGAGATTCAAAATCAGAATCATCTATTCCTTTTACTGATGCATGTTTGGTTTAAATGAGGATTGAAATTGGATTCTAATTGTTGTTGTTTGGTTTATGGAATTAGAATTAAAATCAATTGAAAATTTTCAATTTTATATTAATTTATTAATATTTTGTTTTATTATTACTCTATTTAATTAATATCTTAAAATTTTATTGTTATTTTTTATTATTGTATTAATATTATATTATAGTACTAATATTTCATTATTTTATAAATAATAGAGTTGGGTGTATTAGGATTTGGGGATTTTTTCTTTTGTTAAGAGTTCTTTACTTTTTTAGAAACTCTAAATGGGAATTCCATCCTCATAGGGGCCTGTAATGACCATTCCTCCATGTGCAAGAATCCCATCCTGCCAAGATTAGGAATCAGCAGAAACCCATTTTGGCCAAACAAATGTTTGGAATCAGAATGGGCCTTTTGATTCCAATTTTTTGTTTTGCTAGCCATCACATGGTAATTTGATCATCTCTGGTTGTTGCACTTGCATTGAATACACACAATGAGAAGCGAACCCATTCTTTGAACAGGTTTTCTCTTTAATTTCTTTGATTAGTGAACCACTTCATTGATGGACTTGAGTAAATTCATACTCTAGAGTCTGGTCTATGCTAAGGGTCCATTTGGTTCACGGTTAGGATTAGAATTGGAATTGGAATTGAAATCCCCTAGAATTTGAATTGGAATCACCTATTCCCAATGCCCGTTTGGTTTAAATAGGAATCGGAATCGGATTCTAATTATTGTTGTTTGATTCATTTGGAGTTTGATTGGAATAGATCAGTTGATTTTTTCAACTTTGTATTATTTTATTTATATTTATTATTATTGTTTTATTATTTTATTATTACTTTATTAGTATTTAATAATCAACATCTTAGTATTTTATTATTAATTTATTAATATTTTATGAATATATAATTATTATTTTATTAACACTATTATGAATATTTTAATACAAGTTTATTAATAATTTATTATTTTAATATTCTATTATTTTTGTTTATCATTTTAATAATAATTATTGTTATTATTATTATTATTTAATAATTAATATTTTATTTATTATTACTTTAATTCTATTATATTAATATTTTAGTTGCACTATTATTATTATTATTATTTTGTTTAATTATTATCTTATTATTACTTAAATAATATCTTATTATTATTCTTGATAGACTTTGGAATGGGAATCCCATTCCCAAGGGGGGAGCTTGGAATGGTCATTCCCCCATATGGGAGAATCTCATTCAACCAAGACTAGGAATCAAAATTCCATTCCAACCAAATAGACCTTAAAAGATTTTAGTCATTCTATAAGGTTCACACCAGGCCAGGCTTTCCCGTGGCTTATGGGGTAGGCTTGGGTTTTAGGCTGTTGATTGATCTTAGGCCATGTTTGGTAGGGATGCAAACGGATTGGGTCAAATTCGAATCCGATCCGACATTGTTCATGTCAAACCCGATCCAATCTGAAGATCCGATCAGATCTGATAGGACTCGATTTTAATTCAAATCCTATTTGTAAGTCGGATCTTCGAATATGATCTGATCCAATTTGTTTTCTTTAAAAATTAATAAATTATTAAAAGAAAATTAAAATATACTAATTTAAATAAAGTAAAAAACAAAAAATACAAGTATTTTTTAATTATTTTCATCATATATATACATGTTTCTTATAAAAATAATAAATTATATAACAAATTTATAAAAATATAATATAAAAAAATATTTATAAATAAATAAATAACATATATATATTTATAAATATATAATATATATCGGATTGGATAGGGGATAATCCGAATCTGATTCAATTTCTAATCAAATTCTATTATCCAATCCGAAGATCCGAATAGGGGTGATCCGAATTCGACCAAATAGGATCGGATCCTGATTTGATCCATTTGCACCCCTAATGTTTGGGAGTGCTTAAAAATAAGTGCTTTTTTAGGTTGGATCACACCATTAAGCACTTATCGGTGTCTGGGAAATAAGCCCAAAATAAGTGCTTATTTTATAAATAAGCCTTATTTTTTAAGCCCAAATTTCCAGCTTTTTTTAAGTGCTTATACAATAAGCACTTATTCAATTTTTTCTTCCAAAATTATCCCTAGTTGAATTTTAAAATACCACTTACAAAACAATCCCTAGTTGAATTTTATAAAAGTACTTTTACAAAAATGCTTTCGTAAAAGTACTTTCATAAAGTACTTCTATAAAAGTGCTATAAAAGTATTTTCGTAAAAGTGTTTTTATACAAGTACTTTTATTAAAGTGCTTTATAAATGTACTTTCGTAAAAGTGATTTTATTAAAGTGCTTTTGTAAAAGTGCTTTTATAAAGGTACTTACATAAAAGTGATTTCGTGAAAGTACTTTTATAAAAGTGCTTTCATGAAAGTATTTTTATAAAAATGCTTTTATGAAAGTGCTTTCATAAAAATAGCTTTCATAAAAATACTTTCGTAAAAGTACTTTTATAAAAGTGCTTTCGTAAAATTTGAAAGAAAATGAAGGACAAATTATTCAAAAATGCTTATTTAAATGTTTATTAGAGAAAAAGACTACCAAGCACCCAATATGAAATAAGTGCTTATTGAAAATATTGGGTTCCAAATGCAAACAAGTGCTTATTCCAATAAGCACCTGTTTTTAAACACTTATTCAACAAGCACTTATTTTTAACATAAGCACTCCCAAACATAGCCATTCCAGAATTTGTAAATCCGAGTCCACAAAAGAAAGCCCAATAATCTAGTATTGTTCCTTGTCTAAGACCATTAGTTCTGCCTAACACGCCAAGGACATTCTTGAGCACACCACACAAATTGGATCTAGCATCAGTGCGGTTCTCATTTTTCACTCAATGGATGGTTTTCATTTCTAGTAATTAAGGGGTGTTAGTCAATATGTATGATTTTGTTTTTTCAAAAGAAAAATAACTATCAAGTCAGAAAAAAAACAGTATAGTTTTTTTGGACACATTTTATAGGTTTAAAATATCGCAACATATTGGTGTATATTTTATAACAAGTATGGGTTTTTGAACCAATTGGAACACATTTCATGATTTTATTTTGATGAGTTGCTAAACAACAGATAGTTTTCATGGCGTAGGATAATTTTTTGGGGTTGATTTTGATAGGTAGTGGCTGGTCATTCTCTTCAACTGGAGCAATGGAAGGAATAAATTTCATAGTCACAGGAGACCTTATTAGCCTTTCAGCACAAGAGCTTGTAGATTGTGATAAAACCAGTGATGGCTGTGATGGAGGCTGTATGAACTGTGCTTTTGAGTGGGTCATGATGAATGGAGGAATTGAAGCAGAATCAAATTATCCTTATACAGGACAGGATGGGAACTGTAACATTACTAAGGTTTGCTTACTAAAGCTACTTGTTTGTACCCTGCATTCATTCTCTTTTCCATTGCTAATGCAGTTCTCCTCTTAGACATTTGTATCTTCTTTGAGGCAGATAGCCATGATTCTTGTTGGTCTTAGGAGTGGGCAACTCTTAAGCTTTTTAAACATAAGATAGGCCTCAGATGGGGCACCGGGTCTGCTGCAAACACAAACATGTATAACAGACTAGATAACGAATCACAAGAGAACGCATCAGCATGGAACATAGCATGTTATACACGTCTGTATTTGTAGCAGATCCAGATACCTCAGATGGTAGAGCCTACATTGCCTAAACTATTAAGTTACCTTCTTGACCATACCAAAGATCTGTTATAGGTTTTAGTGAGATAATTATTGCCTCTTTGAACAGATGATGTATGTTTTTTTTTTTTTTCAGAGAAGATTTCCATTGGGTTTTAGATGATAACCTATCTCCTTAACCAGAATACTTCATCAACCAAAAAAATGTATTAATTTCTTCTCTATCTGATCTATTCTATTCTGTTCATTAGGAGCAAACCAAAGTGGTAGCTATTAATGGCTATGAAGATGTAGATCAAGAGGAAAGTGCTCTCCTTTGTGCCGTTGTTAACCAACCTGTGAGCGTGGGTATTGATGGTTCTACAATGGATTTTCAGTTATACACTGGAGTAAGTTTATATTCATACAAGAACTATTAAATTCATATCATTATGGAGATGAAATATAATCCTTTACAAATGTTGTAACCAGGGAATTTATGATGGAGACTGCTCAAGCAACCCAGATGACATAAATCATGCAGTTCTTATTGTAGGTTATGGCTCCCAAGGTGATGATGAAGACTATTGGATAGTGAAGAATTCATGGGGAACTAGCTGGGGAATGGAGGGATACATGTATACAAGGAGAAATACTGGTTTAGAATATGGAGTTTGCGCAATCAATGCTATGGCTTCTTACCCAATAAAAGAATCTCTTGCTCCTCCTATTCCATCCCCTGTTGTTCCACTCCCTCCGCCACCTTCACCTTTACCAACGCCGCCCTCCCCTACTGTTCCACTCCCTCCTCCACCTTCACCAACACCTCCCTCCCCTGACGTTCCACTCCCTCCTCCACCAACTCCACCTTCACCAAGACCTCCCTCTCCTGCTGTTCCACTCCCTCCTCCTCTACCACCTCCACCTTCACCAATACCTCCCTCCCCTGCTCCTCCACACCTTCCTCCGCCACCTCCGCCTTCACCAAGACCTCCCTTTCCACTCCCTCCGCCACCTTCACCTTTACCAACACCGCCCTCCCCTACTGTTCCACTCCCTCCTCCACCTTCACCAACACCTCCCTCCCCTGACGTTCCACTCCCTCCTCCACCAACTCCACCTTCACCAAGACCTCCCTCTCCTGCTGTTCCACTCCCTCCTCCTCTACCACCTCCACCTTCACCAATACCTCCCTCCCCTGCTCCTCCACACCTTCCTCCGCCACCTCCGCCTTCACCAAGACCTCCCTTTCCACTCCCTCCGCCACCTTCACCTTTACCAACACCGCCCTCCCCTACTGTTCCACTCCCTCCTCCACCTTCACCAACACCTCCCTCCCCTGACGTTCCACTCCCTCCTCCACCAACTCCACCTTCACCAAGACCTCCCTCTCCTGCTGTTCCACTCCCTCCTCCTCTACCACCTCCACCTTCACCAATACCTCCCTCCCCTGCTCCTCCACACCTTCCTCCGCCACCTCCGCCTTCACCAAGACCTCCCTCCCCTGCTCCTCCACCAATTCCACCTTCACCACCACCTCCCTCCCCTGATGTTCCACTCCCTCCTCCTCTACCTCCTCCACCTTCACCAACACCTCCCTCCCCTGCTGCTCCACTCCTTCCTCCGCCACCTCCGCCTTCACCAAGACCTCCCTCCCCTGCTGTTCCACTCCCTCCTCCTACACCACCTCCACCTTCACCAAGACCTCCCTCCCCTGTTATTCCACTCCCTCCACCTCCACCTTCACCAAGACCACCAATCGAATGTGGATACTTCTCTTATTGTGAAGCCACAGAGACTTGTTGTTGTATTTTTGAGTTTATAGGTTATTGTTTATTGCATGGTTGCTGTGAGTATGAGAACGCTGTATGTTGCAGTGGCACTACCTATTGTTGTCCTCATGATTATCCCATTTGCTGGGAACCTGATCTCTGTCTAAAGGTTTGAAAATATACTTTTAAGACAACCTTTAATTGGCTTGACTAATTCAATGAAACAAGACTAAAAGGACAGAAACAAAGTCCGAATACTCATGGCTCATATGGGAGAAAGAGGAACTTTTGAAGTTACTAGACATTTTTTATTCTTTTGGCTTGAAAACGGCTCTACTTGACTATTTCACTCATGGAGTCACTGAGTATTATGACTGTAATTAGAAATTTTAAAAATTGGTGCTAATGTTGTACTACTAGTTAAAACTTGGAAGTTGGAACCACTCAGTTTTGGGTAGTATTTTACAGTAAACTTGCTCAATAGGTTATTTTTTTCTCTTTCATTTTGCAGAATTATGGAGACTACTTTGGTGTGGCTGCAAAGAAACGGAAGCTTTCTCTCAAGTTTCCATGGACCAAAATTGAAGACATAGCAAACCCACACCAACCTCTACAGTGGAAGAGGAACTGGTTCATCGTTCAGCACAAAAGACGGATATAATCTTCCTCTTCAGTCTGGATTGAAGTTTATCATTACTGTCATCCCTTTTCCCCTCTTCTTTGGATGGCATTCTATTATCCTGTTACGAAGTTTTGTGTTTATTACCACTGTATGTATGAACTTCTAAATTATAAAGAGTTGTCTGATTTGTTTAGGTTTTCTTTCTCTCCTGCCTTTGTATCAAGTATTACATATTATAAATAAATGGCATGAGTATACTGCAACCATATTCAAAATGAGTGATGAATAGAATGCCTGGTCACAATGTTAAACTGGTTGAATGTCTTTTGTGAACATATTTAGAATTGCTGCTTAAGTGTGGTATATACACTGTAGAAATCTAACTTATTCTATAATAAATCTTAAGTTAATTTAAATCGAATTACAATTTTTATCATGGGTTATCAAACTGATGGAAACTTGTATATCCATGAAAAATCTGTTCTAAAATATTACCCTTGAATCCAACAAAATTGAAATCCTAGGGTATATATAATAATAATTAGCATCTATTAATGACTCCTTTACTTAAAGGTTAAAAATAAATATATGACAGACCAATCTAAGTCTGTTTCTGTTAATGATTCAAGTCAGATCCTGTAAAAACCTTCTGGGCGGGAATTAGCCTCTTGTTTTGGAATTAGCCTCTAGTGCTCTCCTCCTATGGGTCCTTACTCATAAAGAGAGCAAAACTACAGATATATACTACTTTCACTCTTTTTCCAAGCAATGTGAGATAAGGAATTTTTTCAAGCATTCAACAATTGGAAGAGGAAAAGACAAAAACAAGAGAGAGAGGAGAGAGATTCTTGAAATTTTGAATCTCCTCCCTTCAATAAATAGTCATTAGGAGGATTGCCATATCAGAACTCATCATCTCCATGGTAAGAAACATAGACCTCCAAAACAGCTCTGTAAGCATTACGAGGAACACTTAGGCCTTGTTTGACAAGTCTTTTTGGAAGATTTACCGGGCTTTGGAAAGACTCTTAGATCAAAACTGGGTCTTTCCTGTTTGGCAATTGAAAGCCAACTAGACCAAAAGAGAAGACCCACAAAAAGACAGTCAAAAGCCCAAAAAAATGGACGAAACCTGGGAAGCTTGAAATTATGGTCTCTCTTGCAAAAGCGGTTGAAGGAATGAAACCGTCGTTTCTCAGTTCAACAACATTCTGCATTGGGCAACCTAACGGTCGAACAAATGAAACTATTCGCACATATATTATTCTCTTGTTCCTTTAATTTTCCATGGTTTCCTTCTTCTTCTTCTTCCACGACTTTCTATTCATTTCTATAAAATAATCCTTAGATCTCCTTGATCAACTTCGAAACTTGGACTCCTAGATTACTCCAATTGCCAAACCTGATATTCAATCCAGAGTTATGCTAATCGTAAATGCACCTTTTTGCTTATTTTGTTGAGGCATTCTGGCCCGCAAGCTCTTTTTTTAGTTATGTTCTCTAACGGATGGGATGTGTTAGCAATCTAGGGTTTTGGGGTTCTTGGCTTCCCAATTGGGATTGATTTAACCTTTAGGGGGAGGGGAATTCGACGCCATGGATTCTATAGTTTCTCAACCAGAAGATGCACCCCTGGTTATAGGGGATTCGCCATTCAAAGCCCCAAAAAGCCATGACAAAGATGCTCATATCTTGAGCTCTGCGTTTCTTTTGCTATTTCTGGCTTACGTATAGCTGCTTAGAACTTGGAGAGCACGGTGAATACGGTGTGTCTCTGTTTACACAATTTGCTTTTCTGCAATGGTTTCTCCTTTATGCCGTTCTGCAATGGTTTTGTTGATTGTATGATTTGCATTACCATATTCTCCCTTGTCTCATCTCCCCATGGTTCGGATATTGGGCTCAAAAAATGCTCTGGTTTGGTGCTTGGCACCACTGTCTATTGGTTGTTCATGGCTACAAACTTGGAACCATCTTGGTATGATATTTTCTCTTTCAAGCTGTAGTTGAATTGTGATACATAATTTGAAACTATCTTGGTATCCCTAGTGGGTAGATTACTGTCTCTTAACCTTTTTGCCTCTCTTGTGGTGAGTAAGATGGGATTAGTTAGGTAGAGGCTCTCCGATTGCAATAATTTGTAGACAATATTATCCCCCAAGACATTGGATTGTGTATTGGATAAAGACTTTGGACCTATTTGGTGCATCTTTTTGAGAAGATCTTCTGTTAGCTCTGGCATGCAAAGGATGCATTGAACTTTTGCATGAAGATCTGAATAATCTAAAGCACATTTGTCAGATACGTGTTTTTCCGTGTCTTTTCGCACGATATTAAAACGTGAAAGACATGAGAAGCTTCATTTGAAACTTCTCGAAATCAGCTGAAATGAGTTTTTCGCGTCTTTTTGGTGCTCCGTCTTTTGACGGCTAAATCTTCCACGAGTCAAACGGGAATAGACAAAAAATTGGTCTTCCTAGCTTGTAAGCAGCTGAAAGACCATATGAAAACACACACAAACGGGCCCTTTATCCTAAATTGTGATAGATTTCTTCGCAATGACTGGCATCCCTCATTAAGATTCTATAAACCCTTGGCATAACATAAAACTTTTTATAAACATATTTCAAAATGGTTTTTCATAATTTCATCTCGTTAAATACGAGGTAACTAGAAAACAAACAGTTATGGATGAGTTAACGATGTAGTCTCAACCCATAGAAAATTAAGATGCAGTCTACACTAGTAATATAGCACACAAAACTGACATTATTGTCACGGGGGTAGTCGTTGGGACCCCGTGCGGCACTCGAATGCGACGAGTAAGCCTAAGAAACAAGCAACAATACAAGAAAAGGCAACAAAGATGGCACACGAATTAGAAAAGGCTACTTGTATTGCATTAATGGATGGCAAGCATAAGCACATAGTTTAGTGTCGAGGGGATCTCATGCTTAACCTTTACATGCTCATGACTCACTCGACTACCTACCTCCCCTCAAAGAGTACGTTAAGCTTTTGGGGGAGTGACAATAAGAAACATMAAAAAGGTGAAAAAGCATACTACAATATTACAATATTGCCATTGGCAATCCCCCATACAAAAGTACATGCATAGCCCACCCATGACACACACTTGGACGCTGGAATGGCGGCTGTAGGCACGGTGAACAGAACACTTGTTACACTATGGCATCTCTTCTTGAAGTTGAGACCTCTGAGAAGTTTTTTAGAATCCCCATGTTTAGTAAACAAATTATAAGAAAAACCTAAAATTACTCAGCCACAAGGGAATCACCTTAAATGAGCCCTCATGTCTAGGGTAGAAATATCAAGTTATAAGTTATTATGACAACAAGAAAAAACTACCCAAAGAGGTAGGGTTATGCATGAAACTTCAAAGTTCTCAAGCATTTTATAGTGCATATTTCAGTTTTGCAATTGAGATAGTTAAACACTGATTATATTCTCAATGACATGCTTTCCTATAACAATTTCTAATTTAGTATGACAAATTGGACCCTACCTCTTATTCAAAAGATAGTTGAATAGCAACGTTCTACCCCCTACACTTTTCAGCCACTAACCTCAGATATATAGTGATTAATCAAAGTTGTTAATCATTAAAAATAAGGATCATCAACATAAGAATATAGCCAAGTGAACATTCAATTTGTTATCATTTTCTTTTTTGGGTTTAATTCTGTAATTATTCCACTACAAGAAAAACGGTCAAAGCGGCGGTCGCTGTGGCCGCCGCTATAAGGACATCTTAGGTGGCGGATTTTCAAAGACCGCTGCCTACATTCATTTTAAAAACTGGCGCGGCGGTTTTAATGTACATTCGGCGGATTTTTCGTGAACCGGAATTAATCCGGGTTAAAAAATCTCTTCCTGTTCGACCAAAAAAAAGAAGTTCTGTTCTCTCTCTGTCCATAGAAAACCTTGCTAAGAAATTTACAAGACAAGTTATTCTTGCGATGAAGTAAAGTTGTAGTTCCAAAAATGGAGGAGAAAAGAGGCGGGAAAGTGATTTAGGGTTTTACGTTATAGTGAGAGTGAAAGGTCTCCTGCTGCAACGGACCAGACT